AACAACAATAACAGTAATAAATATCAATAATAATAAAAATGGAATAAAGGGCGAAAACAAGGGACTGCAAATATCTTTTATGAGCTTTTTAAAAAAATTAGTTTTGATTATGTATATGTGTCTCTACCTCTATGTGAGTATGTGCACTTGAGTATAGATGCCTGCAGAGGCTGGAAGACAGTATCAGATTCCCTGGACCTGGAGTTACAGGCAGTTGTGAGCTGCCCAACGTAGTATGCGGGGGATGGGAATTGAACTCTGGCCCTCTGGAAGAGCAGCAAATGTTTTTAACATCCTCACTATCTCTGCAAATCCACATTTTATCTTTTAAATATGTATGACTGCTGGAAGCAAAACTCACATTAACTGGAGGGATACTCAGTGTACATGAATTATATACACATAGATACCAGATCTTATTTAATATTCTTGAGGTACCACTATACCAGAACAGTAGCTGGATCACATAACATTTCCAAAAAAGTGTGTAAGAGTTACTATTTTTCAAATTCTTACATTTGTTGTCATCTTATCATTATTGATAATAACCCTTCTAAATATGGTGGGCTGATAGTTTAGCATTTTGATTTGTGTCCTCCTGATGACTAAGGACATTAAGCATTTCCCACATGCTTATTGGCCACTGGCATCTCTTTTTGATAAGTATACACATACAAAATGGAGTACATTTTAACTGTAAAGACAAATGAAATCTTGTCATTTCCAGTGAAATGGATGGGACTAGAGAACGTTCTACTAAATGAAATAAACAATGCCCAGGGAAATAAAGTAAAGACCACGTGATCTCTTTTTTATTGAGCAACTAAAAACAAGAACTGAAAATAGAATAGTGATGGGTAGGGATTTGGGTAGGTGCAGGGTGGTCACAGTGGAAAGAGTGTAGCTGAATATGGTATGCGATGGAGTATTATAGAGGCTGCCCTATTCACTGTATAATGAATACGTCATCAAGAGGATCAAAAACAAACCAACAAAATGCAGGGCCAGTGACTGTCTTCCAAATTCAGAAACCAGGATTACTGACTGCTTTTATTGCACAAAGAAGGACATTTCTTCAAGACTTCAATTTCCAGGGGTGAGAAATGTGCAGAATTCAAACCCAGATAAGCTTGACTTCAACTCTCAGTCCTCCCATATTGTACCATCTCTCTCCATCTTCCTCTTCGCCTCTCTGCTATCTCTATCTCCATCTATCTTCCCTTTCTGTCTCCATCTCTCTCCTCATGTCTCTGTCATCTATCTCGATCATCTCCATCTCAAAGGCAAAATTTCAGAAAAGGCTCATTCAAAGCAGCACAAGCGATGTGTTTCTCCTCTCCACAGCAGTAAACAGGATAATTAACATAAAATTATTCATCTTTGGCTGCGTAATTCTGATTAAATAGCCATATGAACACTGAAACAACACTTTTGTGATTAGGTTGATTGGTGTTTATGGTTCTTAATGAGTCATAATACAGCCATTTGTGCAAACCATGAGCAAATTGTCAACCCAAGTTGTCATGTAGCCAAGTGGAAGTGGCATGGGTTGGAGAGCGTACTTCACCTCCGCGTGTGATTCCTTACAGTACTGACAGAAATCCACTGCCTTCATTCAGGACTACCATTTGCTTCTATCTGAGACCTGTGAATCTATACAAAAATCTTTTCCTCCATTTTCAAATTTGCTTAGTGTTTGAGCTGATCATAGACTCGTGTGTATATGGATGAATAACATAAAGATCCCACGCACACTTTATTCTAGTTTGCTCAGTGATGATATTAATCTTACCTACAACGTTATATCACATTAGTTCACTGACATGAGTAGAATCCCTCATTCTTATTAAGCCTTGCCCAGTTTTACTTTCACTAATGTGTGTGTGTGTGTGTGTGTGTGTGTGTGTGTGAGAGAGAGAGAGAGAGAGAGAGAGAGAGAGAGAGAGAGAGAGAGAGAGAGAGGTGGGATCTGTGTTACCTTTATTTGTTGATGAATAAAGTTGTTTCAGTCAATGGCTTAGTGCAGTAAAGCCAGGTGGGAAATTTGAACAGAGATACCTAGAGAGTGTAGGCAGAGTCAAATAGCTGCCATGTAGCTGCCAAAGGAGGATGCCAGAACCTTACTGATAGGCCATAGCCTTGTGGTGATACACAGATTAATAGAAACGGGTTAATTTAAGATGTAAGAGCTAACTAGGAATACACCTAAGCTACTGGACAAATGGTATTGTAAATAATATAGTTTCTCTGTGATTATTTTTGTGTCTGGACATCCAGGAAACAAATGAGCACCTTTATGAGCACCTTTCTCTCTCTCTCTCTCTCTCTCTCTCTCTCTCTCTCTCTCTCTCTCTCTCTCTCTCTCTCTCTGTGTGTGTAAGTGTGGAGAGAGAATATGTGTGCACTTAGTTTTAGAACTTTTATCAAAGGATCACACATGTAAGCTTTTGTACTAGCCGCCACAATTAGGTCCGAAAGGGTCTGATTATTGCAATAATCCTTCTCCTGGCCTTTGTATACACACCCATTTTCCCCTTTCTCCCACCCCAGTACTTCTTTCTGTCCTTTATATTGAAAATTACTAGCAAAATTTTATACTCTAGAGATTGAACCCAGGGCTTAATGAATGCCATGCCAGTATAAATCCAAAGTACAAAATCTTTCAAAATCTAAAGTATAAACTCAGTTTGGTGTCAAATGCTGTAACTTCAGCACTCTGTAAACAGAGGTATTGATCAGGATTTAGTACAAAATCAAAGTCAGCCTAGGCTACATGAGAACCTGTCTAAATAAATAAATAAATAAATAAACATCTGAAGCTGTGTCTCCTATAACATAATATGATTCTTTTTATATCACATCCTGGAACTAATAAAATGTAGTTATTTACATTTCCAGGTCCCCGACTGGATATTTAAAAAGACACAAGGCAGCAGGCTCTACGTACTTTATTTTGTTTGTTCTTAAAATCACCATTAATGATCACCATCAGATCATGAACGATTTCGCTTTCTTTTTCTGTTTCTGGAAAAATGGACAAAGAACATAATGAGTGAACTTTGCCCAAACTGCGGTTTTTCAAGTGCGTCAGGAGCAAATTGCTGCTTCTCCCCTGTCATGAGGGCTTCTTTGAGGCCCACATTATAACTTGAACCAGCTGCTTAATGAGCTGTGCAATCCTCCCCATTTGTCTTGCACAAAAATGCAAATATGTACATATATGTGTAGATATACGCAGACACACCAGTTTTAAAGCCTGTTAAGTTGAATGCTTCTCAGACAAAAGCACAAATACATGCTCTCCAAAGAAAAGAATTAAAAAGTTAACTCTATTACTTGGAACGAACAAGAATAAATTTGAAAAGAACAGAGAAACTGATGAATAAAACATACATATTTATGAATGTTGCTGTTGAGAGAGAATTCCCATATTCACAGTCTAAAATACTAAAAAAGCAAGAGAAGGGTTTGTTCTTCATTAAGAAATAATTCTACTATAATTGCTTGCTCAGTCAAGTCTTCTGCAAAACAGACACATGCAATTGATTTTGTAGAATGATTGAGATTCAGTAATGGCAGGAAAGAAGCTTTTGATTTCATGGTTGAGCTGAGGAAAAGAGGAACATTCTTGACTAACACATAAGAAATGTTTTTATTCATAAGGAGATAGAAAAATAATGGCAAAGATGCCAATATGGCTGAAAGAACCCAATGACACAACTGGGAAGCGGCAAATTTTAATTTAATTTAACTCAACCATAATTTATTGATTGTCTCTTAAGTGTAAGAGCCTTTCAGACCATGGAAACGGAAGGCAGAAGCTAACCATCAAGTAAGGATATGCTTTCCTTTCGGAAGCCAAACAGTTATCAAATAAACATTTCAAATCAGAAAATTACCTGACTTTTTACCATATTGTCCAGAGACCCAGGGAAAATGCTGCCGTCTGAATGTTTGTGCTCTTCTCAAATTCAAGTACTAACACCTTATTCCTGGATGGGAGAAATGGCTAAGTAGGTAAAGCACTCAACTTGAACTCCCAGAACCCACATAAGAGCAGTGCTAGGCAGCCCACTTATGTAGTTCGGACACTCCTGTGTGGAAGTAGGATAATATCTGGGTTCTCAAGGGCTATCTGGCCTGGTGGATACAGTGACACGCAAGACAACCTGTCTCAAATAAGGTAGGTAAGGACTGACAGTCAGGACTGTCATTGGACCTCCAGGTACACACCATGGAATGCATATGGTCATGCTAACACATAGGAATATGCTTATTCAAAATCAACCCAAAGGATAATTCTCTCCCTTTCCTTATAGAAGTACTCCAAATGTGATGGAGAGAGAGAGACAGAGAGAGACACACAGAGAGAGATACACAGAGAGAGAGAGAGAGACAGAGTAGACCAAAACACAGAAAGACACATATGCAAAGAATGAATGTGGGAATTTAGGTTGGCCCAAAATGTTTAGTAAGAATTTTTTAGAATATGTGGAATTTGAATAATCCAACTAAACTGTGTGATTACATTCCTTTTTATTGCTTATATTTCCTAATATAAATCTTCAATCAGTTCTTGTTGATTACATATACATATTAATTTCAAACCACGGCAAGCTATTAGTGTATCTAATAATTTTGATGGCATCTGTAAATCTTTCCTTAAATATAGGCTCAAGACTTCCACGGTATTAGTAATACTTTTTGGATAATATTTTCATACCCACATAGCATGAAAAAGGCATGTACATGTATTTTTGAATTTGGGCCTATTTGCTTCTTAGGTTTAAAGAAAAAAGGAATTGAATTCAAGCTAGCATGAGATACTGTGTAATACATTGAAACCATATTTTAAGGGAACGTTTCAAAATGAGATAGCCTCCTTTGGTCATTACTAATTTATATGGGTTGAGTAAAAAAGATAAGACCACATACCTTATCAGTATTCTGCTGATTTTAGAACTATAATTTATTTTAAATTTTGTGCCTGTGTGCTTGTTTGTTGATATGTACACATGAGTGAAGGTGTTCACAGAGGCCAAGAGGGCATGAGATCTCTTGGAGTCAGGCTGATTTGAGCCCCTCAACGTGAATGAGCTCTGGGAAAAGAACTTTGTCCCTATGAGAAGCAATATACTATGTGCAGGAATCTCTAGACTAGACGCCAGGTGTAGGGACACTTTTGACCAAGATGATGAGATGTCCTTGTTCACTCTTGGAAGTCAAGGAGTCCAAGAAGGTCATCTTCTGCAATGTAAGGTCCGAGTCCTAGAAAGTTAGAATAAAAGGCGAGGCTGAGTCGCTTTCATATAAGCACCGTAAATGCCTGGCCCCAGAGCAGGGTTCTCCTGAGAGTGCCCTTCCTCAGTTCAGAGACAGGAGCCTGGTGCATAATATATGGGAAGTGAAGTATGTAATGAAACATTATACATGATGATCTATTTAAAGTTAAAAATTATTACCAAAAAGTTTGCTGGAGAAGCATCCAGCAAAATAATACAATATTCTTGGCCTTTAGCAGTGAAGGAGAGGGGATACTAATTAGCGTTTCTACTTTCTTCTTGATGTCTTCTGATGATTTTTACTTTTATTTTGATTTATTTATTTTAAATATCTCCCTTTCTTTCCTCTCTCCCTCTCCCCCTTCATCCTTTTTTCCCTCCATTTCTCCATTTCTGCTCCCCCCCCTACATATTTGTGCCACGGTACATGTATGGAGGGCAGAGGAAAACTTTTGTGAGTTGGTTCTCACCACCTACCATGTTTACAGCAGGAAACCCCATGCTTTTCAATGCCACTGCACCAAACACTCCCATTTTCATGCTTTGGAAGATTTTATTCTCCGTCTCCACCTGTCATCTTGCCTTAGAAGTATAGAGATGAGAGTGTAGGCCCCTTCATTAGACTTTTTCATTTCCCCCATGGGTGTGCAACTCAGGTCGGGCTTATGTGGGCAGTGTTTTTCTGGCCCTATACTTAAAAAATTGAATACATGCCACTTAAAAAGAAGCCTGTCAAAAATGGATTGCATTATTTAGCTTGAGGGTTTTGTTTAGAACTTTTATTTATAATAATAGATTTGGCAAAATCATTAATAATTTGGTCAGAATTCTCACAGTTTGAGACACTACAGCTATATAACTTGGAAGATGATCCATCTTGTTGTTGTGATTGCCATAAAAATGGGGAGTGTCAGATGATTAAATCAAATTGTGAAAACAAGCCCAAATTCATTAATGCAGTGACCTTAAGTATCTAGATAACTGGAAAGAAATGCGATTTATTTGGTAAATCAAAAGACTGAGTGTATTGGAGCAAATTTGTCTATGTACTTAAAACTTAACATTTATGGCAATTTATTTAAAAAATTAGTAACAAATGTAATGTCAAGTCTTTTGTTGACTAACCACTCATCTTGATATATTTTCACCTGTAAATACAGGTACACTGTCAATTTAGATGACATCTTTGAAAAATTCTCATTATAATGGGCAATAGCAAGCTTTCTCCAATGTGATTCATCCTCTAAGCTGTTTGTTGCATGGTTTATTAGCAAAACTGAAAATCAAAGTTATGACACTTTACATTTCAATATGTCTATGGTTGCCTGAATTTCAGAGAAAGCAGTGATTTTACAAAAGGGGAAGATCTGGCTTAAACCCAGCGTTATAGCAATACCACTTCTATAACCAATGGCAACCATTTAGTCTTGGTGGGCTTTTCTGTAAAATGCTGTTAATGAGGCCGTTTTGAAGACTGATGATGATGTATGCAGTTTGTCTGAACCAGGGGATGCGATCGATAAACAGGTGCTATTACTCTTGTAAACCAGTGCTTTGACTGGTGATGGAATACTGAATTAACAACTAAGAAACAAGAATGGAGCAAATAGCTCATTTTAGACAATAAAGAAATGTCACTCACAACCCAAATACCCATCTTCCTTGAAGCTGGAGATGGTATCTCAACTAATCTTTTAAACAGAAGAGGGGCGTGAGCATGGGAAAATTTGAGATAGTAGTAGGGGATGTGAAATCTTACCTGTCTGGAAGCTATCTTTGATTTGATGATACCATTTTATTATTTTAATGATACCATTTATATATTTTTTGTTTTTAGCAAGACTTGTGAATTTTGTAGTTTGGTAGCTGATCTTGTCTTACTGTATTTCAGAGAGTTGTGTCACCCCCCAACCTTTCTGCAGTGTCCTGAAAGGCGCACGAGGCATTGAATCATTAAATTCGGAGCTATTTCTGTTTCGCTGGTGTCCCACTGATGCACTGCAGTCTCTTAGAAACATCCCTGCCTTCCCAAGATCTCTTTTGACACTGTCAATTTTCCTCAATGGTTTCAGTATCAGCCAGCATTCCCTTCAACATGGTACTCCATTTCTACTTTCTACTAACAAGCCATAGAAGGAACCCTGATCATCACTGAGCTCAGAGATCCCGGCATTCTCAGAGTTGGTTGGTAGCCCTCTGATTCTGTGGGGTCCTTCATGTTGTCTGACCCTCATCTCAGAAGCTACCTCTTCTTGTGGAATCTTTCCTGTCTCATTTGTGTTTCTCTCTTCTGTCCTCTACACACCATGCTCTGTAACACTCACATAGTGTTCTGTAAGGTTCTGCTATAATTATACTGGATCGTATAAGGGAAGGAATACCTATACCCCAGTACCGGGAATTTTGTCTAAAATACCGAGGCCATAAGAAAATCTGCTAACCACTCAGTACACACACACAACATTTAATCTCTTTTGCCACATTTCTTTTATGCTGTCCAAAGAAGTGAGCCAGTGATAGTCCAGAAGACAGCAGGAACTAACAATAAATAGAGTTTGAAGGTGGAGACCCCAACATAAACGAAGCTAAGCACCCTCTATTAGAAAAATATAAGCTCATTTCTTGTCGCAGGTGTAAACTTCCAGATGAATCCTATTGCTTGTTTATCATAATAAAGTTGATTCTGATATGCAGAACCCTATATCCTTAGCTGAGTGACTCTAGCTGTTCCCCAGGCACTTTGCTATCAGAAACCATGCACTGACCTGCAGCAATTTAACAATGAACTTTGCCTCCCCTGCCCTCATCCCGTCATGTGATCCTAATCAACACATGCTAGTATATCTGGAACAGTCCCTGGATGCAATTGTTCTGGTTTATGGTTTCATTCTAAATGCATTTTCAGATTAACAATAAATTATATGTTCATGTGCATGACCCAGGTGAATGCCTATTGTTCAGTTTCCCTCTGTTCCACTCAATACTTAAGGGACTGGGAGAGAGTAGATAACTCTCCTTGCTTGGGTTTGTGGATCGGCCTTCCCCTTTGGTAGCTGACTTGTTAACTGTCTCAATACATGTCACGGAGGAGAAAGAAACCAGAACTTGTTTGTCAGTGTGGAGGGTGGGGTGTTGAAGTCTCCTACTATTAGTGTATGGGGTTTGGTGTGCGATTTAAGCTTTAGTAATGTTTCTTTTACATATGTCGGTGCTCTTGTATTTGGGGCATAGATGTTCAAGATCGAAACTTCATCTTCATGAACTTTTCCTGTGATGAGTATAAATTGTACTTGTCCATCTCTTCTGATTGATTTTAGTTTGAAGTCTATTTTACTAGATATTAGGATAGCTACACCCGTTTTTTTTTTTTTTTTTTTTTNTTTTTTTTTTTTCTTAGACCCTCCATACCTGGAGCAAAACCCCTTTCCCACCTGCCTCAGCTTCTCTGGCCAGACAGCAGGCAAGCTTCCTGCAGGTAGACTACTCCAAGACTCCCATTCCATCGATTGAACCCTGTAAGCTACAAGTACAGCTCTGCCCCCAAGCCCTCCTATACCCTGTGACCTCAGAGGAAGTCTGAATCACAATATACAACTGCACAAAGAAGACCAAGAGTTGAGGGATCACCCACCCAGCGGGGCACCCCACTCTCTAAGCCCTCTATACCAGGGCAAAACACCAGGCCCCTCCCCCATCTGCCTCAGCTTCTCTCGCCAACCAGCAGGCAAGTTTCCTGCAGGTAGGCTGCTCCAAAATCTTCCCATCGATTGAACCCTGTAATCTACAAGTCTCACTCTGCCCCCAAGCCCTCCTATCTCCCTCGACCTCAAAGGAACTCTGGAACAAAGACTGCAACTACTCAAAGAGAACCAATAGAGTAACTCTGAAACACGGGCTCCAACTGCACAGAGTGGAAGAAAAGAGTGAACCAAGATAGCAGTCCAAGAGAGTGGACCAAGAAAGCAGGCCGAGAGAGACCTCAGTGGCTCCCTGAGACACAGACAGCGATAGTACAGAGCAGACTAAGAACAGTTCACAATGACATGGTCACTTCAAGGATTGGACCAAGAGGCAAAGACACTGCTGGCACCAATTGAAGGAAAGATGGGTAGACAACAATGCAAGAATTCATTCAACAATCTAGAAAGCAACATGGTAACACCAGAACCCAATGGTCATACAACAGAGAGACTTGATTATCCTAACCCAGAAGAAAACAATTATAAATGTGCCCTACTGGGATGGGTGATCCCTCACCTCTTGGTCCTCTCTTGTAGTTGCAGCCTGTATTTCCATGTTTACATATTTAATGACTGAACGGATGAATTTTTGAGACAAGGTTTCATGTACCGCCAGTTGGCTTCAAATTTTCTGTTGCCCATAATGGCCTGACATTTCTGCTCTTTTGGCTTCTACCTATTGAGTACTGGAGTCCGAGGAGTGAAATACCACATCCAGTCTTTGTGGTCTCAAAAGCAGGACTTTGAGCATGCTAAACAAGCACTCTTTCAAGTAAGCCTTATCCCCAACCACTTATAATGTAATCATTCCTTCATGCTGCCTTCATGTGATTTCTGCTTTAACAGAAGAAGTTTTCTTTCTTTCTTTTCCTTTTTTTTAACTAACCACAAAAGGCATGATGACATAATCCTTTGGGCACTAGTCTTATTTCAACAGCTTTCTTACTAGCGGCTGTCCTGAGTTATCCCTTGATTCATAATGATATCAATAATAATGCTAGAAACATAAACAGTATTATAGGAGTTGGGGAGATGGTTGAGTGGTTAAGAATGTTTAGTGAGTACCTGAATCAACCTTCCCCTGAAATCAGATTGGTGAATACCCTAATTGTCATCATAGAATCTTCATCTAGTGACTGGATGTAGAGATTCACAGTCAAGCACTGGGTTGAACTCCTGGAGTCTAGTCGAAGAAAGGAAGGAGGGATTATATGAGTAGGGGGCGGGGTCAAGGTCATGATGGAGA